GTTTGAACTTTGACAAGCAAGCTTCTATAATGGAAATTAAATGCGAGTGGAGACGCCACAAAAATGACTCCAAAATCGCCGATTAATGATCGAAATACTTTAATTCAATCGATTCACACAACACAAGTAAAGTCGATACAAAAAAAAAATATTATCGCGATCTTCATTTTGTTCGTTGTGCACCCACATCGTATGACTGTAGACATAAAACTAAGAAAACTCCGCTTTTTTCAAACCCAGATAAATTCTTTTCATTTTGAATATCGTACAATTTCATATGTAGATTTCTTTTGATTATTATATTGAAATATGTTGCATGGCGTATATATCCGCCTATTGATAAGAGCAATGAGTAATTGGAAAAAGAGTGTTGCTCTCTAGATTAAAACAACGTTTTTATTTTGATATAAATTGAATCTGATCGATTATAATATTAACGTTTAAATTCTAAAAACAAACATGTTATTGGTCAACTTTTCGATATAGCCCATAGTTCCTGGTTGAGTCATCCAATTCTGTTGATATATAGGACCGATAAGGCGCCAACATGATGGCGTCTTTAATCTTTCTAGCTAGTCTCTCTCGTGCTTTTGCAACAATTTTGAATTTTATAGCAAGTGTGATGAAGGCCGAAATGCTAAACACAACAGCAAATATGGTCATCACGGTGCTAGTTGATCTTGTTTGCACGTTCTTTCTTGGTTTGTCGATTGAATCAACGATTTTCTGAATCCATTCGTTCCCGATAAACTCCAAATGTTGCCATGGTTTCAAAAATGCTTCCAAATTCTCGTACGAAATGTAATTCCTCGAAATACCCAATTTCAACAGTTTCGGAAAATGTTCATGCGTAATATGGTCCAAATGAGTCAAACTGTTTTCATTTAAATTGAGATAACCCAAATTCGAAAACGAAGCCAAATTGAATTCGATGTTCTTGATGAGGTTATTATTGAGACGAACTTCCATCAAATGAGCGTTATTTATAAAAAGATCTCGTTCGATCACTGTTATCGAGTTATGGCTTAAATCCAATGAATTCAAAGCGCTGAGGTCCCAAAATGTGTCAACGTCTAAGTTTAACACTTGATTGAACGACAAATTCATCTCCTTCATTTTATAGGGTCCATCGAAGGAATTTTTCGATAAAGTAGTTAAATTGTTGTGCGAAAAATCTATTTGGACCAAATTCAGCATGTGTTCAAAAAATTTGTTAGGTATTTCACGCAGTTTATTGAATGAACAATTGAACTTCATGAGCAGTAGCAAATGCTTTGGCAAAGGTGATAAAAACTGAATGCCGAGCTGGGAAATATCAACGGCATGTGATTGTACAAACACAACTATGAATGGATTATTCACCATGGAACTTTTACTCGCTTGTAAATTGAGATCGGTTTCGATTGATTGTGACGATAAACGAAGCGTTGAGCAGAGATCACTTGAATGATTCAATAAATTGCCAGTTTTTGCAGTCGCAAAACAAATATTCAGCACTTTTGAAGAATTTACTCGGACAATAATTAACACAAACAAAATGATTGTTTTCATTTTGGACAACCCAGTCTTTTTCTGTCTAATTAAAGACGTTGATTTGAGTTATATTATCTCTATTTATTTCGATCTGTATGTATTGTTGTCGAAAAATAAAATACGCGGTTCATACGAGTGTAGGAACAGACTATGCCAAACGATTATGCGAAACTGAGAGTTGAGATGAATAAAATGAAATAAACGAAAAGAAAAATTATTTAAAAATAATAAGAAGTAAAACATAGCCTGATTATCCTGAAATCATGCGATAGTAAAAACATTGGACACTACTACATTAAAGTAAACCAAAAGATATGCGAGAAAGTGGTGCCATTCCATCAATTAGTCATTTTTCGTTTGCCAATTCATGTACATTGTACATTAGGCTGTCCTGCCATTCACCGATTTTAAATCAACATAGCTCGTTTTATTCGTTACACGTTGTAGAACATTTCATAGAAGAAACTTTTTTGAAAAAATGATTCTCCGCGATCAAAATTGAAGAAAAAAAAAAATCAATTGAAAGGTTTCACATAAAACGGGCAAGATGGCGACTTCGAATACATTTCAATACTTTCACACATTGCTGTTAGCCGAGAAGCATCTATGCGATACTTGTAACTCATAACGACACACGCTGAGCGTGTGTTTGTTTTTAAACACATTGACGAATTATTCAAATTTAAATCTAGTTACCGTTGTTGTGTAGAACTAATACCGTTCGTCGTGAGACAAATATATCAATGAATGGATGCAATAGTAAATGTCTGGATTGTCACATGAAAACGCGCCGTTTTCAAATTGGTAAAGAAATTTAATTTTCATGTGCCGATTTGGAATCGGCATGTTTTTGTGTAACGTTTCAAAAAAAATGCGCCGTTTTCAAATTGATACGTTTTTCTGGATTGTCAAACAAAAACACGCCGTTTTCAAATTGATATAGAAATTTAATTTTTATGTTGAAAAATGCATATCAAGACATCACTTTTCATTTTGTGTTTCACAAAACTTTTTTTCATTGTTAATACTCAGAGTTTTTTCAAAGGTGATGAGTGCATTGCATTTGACGAATATTGCCCTGAATTATCTGATGAAGATGAAGTCGAGTGTTTGGTTGAAACGAAATTAGGCAATGTGTACGGAGTTGAACTGAAAACAATCTTTGATGATGAGCCATTTTGTGCCTATCGTGGTATTCCGTACGCTGAAGCTCCAATCGGATCACTTCGGTTTAAGGTTTGACTCACATTTTTTAATACGTTTCACCTTGCCCCGTTTTTAAAGTCATTTAGTTTTAACATAGAATTTAAAATCAACTAACAACTAGTTTTTAGTAATAAGTTTTTGTCATGTGCATTAAAATTTAATTCCAGCCACCTATGGCGATCGACAAATGGGATTCAATGTGATTAAAAGTGCTTGATTATGGATTTGAATGTCCGAATAGCCAAAAAAGTGACGTTCAACCATGGCTGGTTGATGAAGACTGTTTATCGATAAATGTTTTTACGCCAAACCCCGTAAAATGCAGTGAAAATAATCTACCCGTTATAGTTTACTTTGGAGAAAGTTTCAACAAAAATGAAGACCCTTACGCATTTATGGAGCGATGTGTCATTTACGTTTCTTTCAATTATCGCATTGGCTTCCTTGGTTTTGCTTCTCTCGGTCTTGATGAATATTCGGGTAACATAGGACTGAAAGATCAACGATTAGCTCTCAAGTGGATTCAAGACAATATCAAAGCATTTGGAGGCGACAGTGACAAAATTACAACTACTGTTGGTGAGAAATCAGGTGAACTTGATATTCCGTCTTCTCATTTAAACTCGATTTCAAGATTCTTTATTCCAAAAAATCTGTTTACCGTGTTAAATCCAAACTTTTCTTCTCTTTTTATATTCGAATGTAATTTCCAATACTGTTTCTATTATCTATTCCATTCGTTGGAGTTTACTTTTTTATACCTTTGCTTTGCCGAAGTTTTATAAACGAAGTTTTTTAGGTGGTTAACAACAGAATAATCAATTTTTCCCATATCGAAAAATGAAGTTTATTGTTGAAATTTACGATTTTTCCAGGTATCCCTTGGAAAGGAGGCTTAGACACACCCAGTAATGTAAAATAATCCCTGCTATAGTGTTTTTTAGCCTAAAAAATGTCAAAATTTCCGATGGAATCGTCAGATTGCATCTGAAAACACTAGAAATAGGTTAGGCCAGAAACTTATGCAGCAACCCTCGTATATCCTTTATATATTTTTCTGAGGGAGGGAAAACGAGTGAGTAAGTGTAGAGTTACTCTTTCGCAAAAAAATGAGTAGGTCGAGACATACTCAAAATCAAAGAGTATATACTCTGAGTATATTCTCTCATACTCAAAGAGTATCTATGAGTATGAGAGTATGTCGAGACATACTCATTTTCCGTTTGTATGGGAGTAGGAGTAGGAGTATGAATTATACTCTCTTACTCCGCCCACCTGTAATTAGAAACATATGTACTGTGGCAATCGATCGAACAAAAGATTGACGAACTTAAACAAACTGGATGTAACTTGGCTTTTAAACCGAATATTTACTTTATTTGACATTTTGAATAAATATAGAATATATTTTAAATCATTGATTATATGTATAATTTTTTTTCAGAGATCTAGACACATATTAACCCCTTGACGACCTTTGGGACACATATGTCCCATTTTGTTTTTCGTCAATAATTTTCACATTTTTAAACCGATTTCGATAAAATTGGTTTCTATTGAAAGAGAATGAATGTAGCTACCAGAAAGTACCATAATATTGGATATTTATCATCACTGCGCTCAAATAGAACACTTCAAAGTAAAAAAATCTTGACTTTTTTTTCAAGTTGCGCCAAACCCTATATAATTTGAACGGTGCAACTTTTAAAGCTGAAAATTTGAAATGTTGTGCGGAATGTCCGTTTCTTTCTAAAAATAATCGACTTTTCTCCAAAAAAATATTTTTTTAAATTTTTATTGCTTTTGGCGCGATGGGACATATGTGTCCCATTGGTCGGTAAACGTAACTAATTACCACTGGTTTGCCTGTATTTTGACCATTATTCGCGAATTTTCAAAAACCAAAATTTACAAAAATATCATCAAATTCGTGATTAAATGGGCACAACAAAGCACAATTCAAACCATTTTCGGTTCCAAACAATTCTGAACATCTTAAAAACGAAAAAGATTTTACACGTAGTTCTTATGGGAGACATATTTTCTTCCATACAAAGGTAGTTACCGTTACCGACCAATGGGACACATATGTCCCATCATTTTTTTCATATTTTCAGTTGAAAAAATTAATTTTTGATAACACTTTTACTAAGGTTATTGGGGTCGCTGAGCACGAATCTGATATCAGAATTGCAAAATTCCAAGCCGTTCAGTTTTGGTCGTCAAAGGGTTAAAGATAAATAGGTATTTTTCATATAGAAATGTAAAGAAGTGCGTTTAAATTGTAAAATTTAATTCGCTTCCACGAGCTGATGTTTAAATTTTCAATCACTTCAATTTTTATCTTGACAAGTTATGCCTTTGATTAGATAATTGCATATTTAGAACGAACTTGATTAAAAACACATGAAGAACAATGCTTATCTTTAGATAAATCTACTATTTTGTATACGTCACAATGTTGAATTGTGTCTCTGCTAGTTTGCACAAGCCAAATGTTGTGTCATTCAAATCGTTTTGACTCCATTCGTTGAACGAATCAAGGTCGACGTTCAGTTAACGCCTCTCAATTGTCGGAACAACAGAAAGTACGAGAAAGACTTTCTTATTAGCTGAAAGTAAGCATATGGGTCTTTATTGAAATTATTAAAGAAATTCGAAATTATGTGCCATCTTTCTAATTAAAATGGATATATTGCTTTATTTTTCATGTGAATTTTAAAATGGAATAAAAAATATTGCTTACCTCTTGAAAAGTTTGCATTGAGCAATAGAATATTTTATATCCATGCAAATAAAATGGAATTTGTGATCGTCGAATAGTAAATAGAATGAGATCGCGCTGATTGATGGGCAAAGTGTACCAGAGAGAACCGTATGCAATATCAGCAACGCCAGATGAACACAATGACAAACTGTGTGCATAACTCGAAAACACGTAGTTGAAAAGAATTTGGGTGAACATGCAGTTGATGCTTAGCACAATATCGAAGCTTAAATCATGAATACCTTGATCTAAGGATAGTAGAGTGAAGGCAAGGAATCCGGCGAATGTGATGTGTTGAAAAAATAAAGGGCCACTCAAAAGATTTTTCACACGATGCATAATACTGAAAACAGAGAGCACATTTTTCAACATATATAAAATTGTGGTTCGATAACACATTGTTTGAATATACAGAAAAAGAAACTTCGATATAGAATTTATGAATTGACGAATGAAGATAATAATCCAGAGAAATGCAAAAAGCTATGATGACATGAACATTCAAGATGGACCATAAAACGCTGACTTGAAGTTTTACAAACTCACTTCAACATATCGATGTGCAGTTCGATTGCTTCCTTCAGAATCAATTTTGTCCTTGCTTCATTTCTTTTGGCATTTGAACATGAATTTGAGTATTCAAATTGCTTCTGTAAATCCAAAGTAAATGCCTTGATATAGCTGCACAGTCCAATTTGAAGCACCGTTAACGTGCAAATTAATCCCATGTAAGTAATGCCGGTGATAGCCTGCACCAATAATGGTGCATAAAATCCTGAGTATGTCTTCGGGTCAAAGAACGATCTGGGATGTGAACAAAAAATGATTTTTAGCAATAGATGAGAATAACTTTTTGCTGAAATACTTATAAATTTAATGAGATTTAGAATTTGAGAATGTTGAAAACAGTGTTACCACAGCTATAATATTATGGTGTCAAATCAACTGTATCAACTTCATGTTGAATTCTCATTCCAATCAGTTCACTACAAACCATGCAACAAACCACACGCCTAACAGCGCATACTAAATTGTCTGTCTTTTCTTATTTCGCCATCGCTATACACAATCATTCTCAAGTGAGAAAACATAAGAAAATCCAAATCAAACGATCACTTACTTAAACGGAAATGGCAATGGCCATTTTGCCGGCGTTGGAAATCCAAGACACAAGTAGAAAATGGGAAATAAAGCAGGAACTCCAAAAAGTGAACAAATCGCAATAATGGCAAATGTAATGAAATTTTTCGATAGCTTATTATTCTTTTTTTCAACATTTTGATAAATTTCCTGCGCATCAATCGAATTTGAACATCCTTGAATAAAAACGAAAAATTGATCAAGCTTCATTTTTGAAAGAAATTGTATCCAGTCTGCCCTAACAGATATTTACTTTTTTGAACAACGCTTTCTAACTCACGGAGAATGTCCATCAATAGCGACCGTTTCATGGCCAATGCTGCATAGACCAAATTTATCTGACTGATGCCAAGCATCACGCTAATTGCAGCAGATCCCTTTTTTAAATCGAATCCAATGTCAAAAGAAAACAATGTGATAAGTGTAAGCGAAATATTCATTGGAATGGCATAGAGAATGCGAGTTAGCGATGTCGGAATGCGAAAACGTGAAGTTTGAATATAAACTTTATCGCTCAAAGACGATAGTGATAAAATCAAGCGAAGTCCTTTCAACACTTCAACTGCCATTGTGTCGTACAAACACAAAGTTCAACTTGTTTCCTTGAAAGATGGACCCAACCTGGTTTCAATACAGGCATGTATGATCAAGACGTTTTGACCGAAGACGTTTCATTGAATTCTGGGAATTTCAGGTGGTACTTGACTTAATTGGACAATTCTTTCCTTAGAGCGCACTTTCAATATTCTAAATGCTTTCTAGTCATAAATTTATTTAATTCCATTCTTAGAACTTAAATTGAAGTGGAAATTCATTTTTTGAACGCAGTATTGAAGTGCTGAAGCGATTGTAGAGCTCATTTGCGTCATTTGATAGAAAATTACATCCTTTATTCGAGTAGAAATGATTTAACGTATTATCAACGAATACCATTCTCATTACATTATTTTGAATAACAGATTTTAGGCCATTTTTGAATTTGTCATTTTTGGGATCCGGTCCACGGCTGTAATGACCTTCGAAAAAAAAAATCAAATCTTCCGAACGTATTTATTTCATTTTCGAATTGTTCAACAGAATCAATATTTTTGTCCACATTTTATTGGCATTGACACATAATTATACTTTCTGTAGCCATGGTAAGAAGATACAAATTTACAATTTCCCAATTGAAGGGCATTCGTGCGCACTGCGCGCATTTGAAACGAAGTAGAATGCCTTCGATTCGATTGAAAACAAGGTTATTACCGTTAGTATATTATAATCAAGCTTTGACACCTTTCCAAATCACTTTTCGATTTCATTGGCAGTATTTTATTCTTCGAATTTTACCGCTCGAAATCTCCGGATTTGGAAAGACACATCTCAATTATCTAGTCAAGCTAAAGATAAGTGTTTCTTAGAATATTATAACAACTAAATTAAGTGTCATTACAGTAAGATGAAATGGCGTTCAAACCGATAATGATACATTTAAAAAATGACTCAATCGACACTTTTTCAATTCTACGCCTTTGAAAATGTATTCACGCAAACTAACTGTAAACTGATCGATTTTTGATTTTAATACTTCATTTAGATTTTCTGAGCTGACTTTTGATCACTTCTCATCATTTCATTGTCACTTCATTACAACTCTCCTATTCACTTTGAATTTGACAACTGATATTGAGCGCAAACGCCACCTAGATAATCTAGGGCTAATGGTAATGACACTACAATCAAGTAAACTCTCCGTTCTGTCAAACGTCATACTGAAGTATAACATACAGATATCACGAACTCGCCATCGGTTCTTTGGATGGCGCTTCGGTCAACCGAGTTTCAACCAAATACATGTATCAGTATATGAAGCATTCCACTGTTGCTTCATTATGAAAATTATTACTTGCAAGTCTTTTCATGTCAAGTGGGTGGTGTTTTTTCAAATGATCTATCGTCTGGCTTTTTGACATCTATCATCTGGCACTTGAAATCACACTTCTAACCCTATAATTTACGATGTTGTAAATGTTTCACACTTGTTAAGAGCTATTAGGCAATTTTATTTCAAATCTAAACGACGAAAATCCCATTTGCATTCAAATTAGGTTCGCTTTTTTCTGCTCCAAACACGGAATATATTTAACCGTTCATTGCTGTGGAATGTCAGAAGCCAACTGTCTTCAAAGACAAGCACTCGTCTTAGATAAAGTATTTCAAGAACTAAATTTCTTCAGAATGGAAGTGTTGAAAAAATGTAAATTGGCTTTGCGCTTAGGGAATTTAACGAATAAAAATGGTTTTCGCTTGTTCACTTGGAAAGTTTCAAATTTTATCGTGGATTTAATTTTGCTGTTGCCGATGTCGATTTGTACAATTCAAATGTTGATTTTCTGTTATAAAAAGGAATTTATTATTAAAGGTATTTCAAGCGCAATTTACCTGAGTCTAGGCATTTTCTCAATTGTGGCTATGTATATTTGTCTTGCGGTGGAGAACGATTTGATCATTGCCACTCTAGATCATCTTCAGGAGATGGTGAACATGAGTAAGTTTGTTCTGGCTGAGAATTTAACATTTTTACATCATTTTTATCTTTTTTATCATTTTTTGAGTTCTTAAAAAAACTGAAAATTGTGGAAATTTCGAAAAGTATAAACACTAAATGCTTAATGATTACTCTACAAAAAATGTTGATTTTTCATGCGAAATGATAGATTTTTTTTCTTCTCAAATTTTTTCTAATTCCATTTTTTCCATTTGGATCAGGACTTGACAAATCCGATGAGTCAACACGCTTATATTTGAATCAGGAGAAACGAAATGCAAAATTAATGAAATTTTTATTTATTTACGCGTCATTTGTTGTTACAAGCATTTATATTCCACCATTGTTATTCCCTGTTGGTTATGCTATTTTTGAGTTTCCAACTCCGAAACAATGGTACTTGCCATATCCATCAGCGTTAGTATTTCTTCTTGTTTGGAAATGTGATTGTATCGGGAAATTAAATTGGAAATCTTAATTTGCAGTGTGCCATTTGATACAAAGGAGCCACTTGGATTCTATACCATTTTAACACTGCAAAGCTTGAGTGGAACGACTTATATGCTGTTAGTCTATGCTCAATTGCTCAGTTGACGCATTAATAATTAACTTCATGCTTACGGAATTTTTTACACTTTTAAGTTTCACAATTTTAGACTTATTACTCTCTTCTCTGGACTCTATATCGGAATGTGCACTTATATCGACACATGCGTCCAGGATCTCGCCAATTTTGCGCAAGATGTGAACAGAATCGTTGAAAGTGACAAATCGACCGAAAATCAACGAACATTTGGAGAAGCGTGTTCCGATATGCTGAAGTTTCACATCGATATTCTTGAGTAAGTATTAAGTAGGAAGAGAAAAATGAATGAATTAATTAAAACACGGCATACATTTCATTTCAGGTTGATGAAAAACTTGAAAATCATCATGAATGGGCCGCTTTTCTTCCAATTGCTGGTCTATGCGGTGTTTATTGCGATGAATTTGCTCCAATTTGATGAGGTGAGGTAAATGGGAGATGTGACTGAAATTCTTAATCAAAATCGACAATTGAAATACAGCCCAAGCGAAACGAAATCCAATCATGAAAACATTTAATAGATCTAATCAACCCTTTTTATCCCTTTCAGATGTTGAAGCATTTTGATTTCGACATTCTGTTGAATTTGAATTCATTGTTCACACAACTTTTTTTCAACTACATTTCGTGTTATTATGCGAATAATGTGACCATAAAATCGTTTGCGGCCGCTGAAATATCGTATGGCATGAATTGGTATGTTTTTCCGGTGAATCGACAGCTTTTAATATGCTTGATGGTTCAGAGAGCTCAAAAACCGTTCTACTTAAAGGGTTACGACATTGTTGATTGTTCGCTGACAACATTCTTAAACGTAATCCTGATTAGAGATAGACATTTTATACGGATTTATCAGTTGATGAGTTTGTTTTTTGTTTTGCAGTTTATCAAAACGGCTGTTTCATTTTATCTTGTCTTCAAGCAGTTTGGTAATTGAGTCGCTCGTTTTGTACGCTCATTTTCATTGGGCATTATTTCATTATTTCTTAACAATATAGTACAAGATACTTTACTTGTATATGTATAATTAGAAGGCACATATTGCAATTGAGATAAAGCGCGCGAAAACTTATGCAGCACAAATTGATCAGCACAGCTAAAATACAGCGAAGGAAGAATTAAACAGTTTTTGAGTTGTTTTTCTTTCGCTGCATTTGTAATTCATTTGCACATTATTAACAAGGTAATTTGCATGAAATCGCCTCAAGATGGCCAAGCATTTTGCCGCCTGAGCTGGTCAACACACAATTTCAATACAGCTAATTTGCAGAACGCTGCACGATACTGATTAAAACCAAAATGCAAAGAAACCAAATTTATAAGCACACACAAAGTTTGAACAGCACTATTTGCACTGCATAATGCACTCCAACAATGAAGATATGGGTATGGAATGTGAAAGTATTTGCTGGAAATTTCAAGAAATAAATGATCCGTACACTGAGAAAAGGCTGGGAGGAAATATTCCAACCCTGCGTTGTGATTTGTTCAACCATGGTTGGAATATTGACAGCATTCCCGGGCTGGAATTCTAAGAATTCCACCAAAATCGTTCGGAATTATTTTTTTCGTACATAAGACCATATTGGAGTGAAAGAGAGAGATTTCACTATTTTTCAGCACTCCACCGGAATTATTCCGATATCTCAAGCAAGAGTGGATTGTGTGAGAAATAATTCCGGTGGAGTGCTGAAAAATAGTGAAATCTCTCTCTTTCACTCCAATATGGTCTTATGTACGAAAAAAATAATTCCGAACGATTTCGGTGGAATGACTTAGAATTCCAGCCCCGCACTTGTCAAATTCAAACCATGGTTGGACAATTCACAAAATCGTCTGCATTGGCAACATTCACAACGCAGGGTTGGAATATTTCCTTCCAGCCTTTTCTCAGTGTATCATTGATTTCGGAAAATGACCCTGGCCCAAAAGACCTAAGAACGATTAGTTGGATTTTTTTTCTGTCTTTTGTTAAGGTGTTGAAATTGTTCTGTCATTTTATCTTCTTTCAACTTATGACTTTATTTTTTTGTATCATTTAAACGTTTTCAATTTTTACCGTTTTCATTCATGAGAATTCACTTGATCAAGATGTTTGTGATGGAGACAATGAAAGTGCGTGAAAAATAAATAAAATATCTCATAATAAGCTAATTCTTGCTTTTTCAATCAACTAAATAAAATAAAAACAAAATTATGATTTCATCCGTTTTCACACTTCTGCCAAGATTGTAGTATTCATCGGCTCATTTGTTAATAAAAAAAAATCCGAACAATTATTACTCCCTCACTTTCCAATCGGGCTTCGAAAATCGTATCCCGCCAGGCAACGCATGGAAAATCATGATGTGAAAAACTGTAAAAAAGCAATTCAAACTAAATAATGGAAAGAAAAGCTTGAATAATGTGCTCGAATGATGTTTCGCCGAATAGTTATATTATTAATTATATTTGATTCTCCCGATGAAATTTAATGAAAGTTATTTTACGAATAAAACGGAAGAGGTTTCGGGAATAAATAAACAATTCCTTGTTTTGTAAATATTGTTATTGAATATTTTAGGTTTGTGAGACGGAAGTATTAGATAAGTTTCGAGTGCCCTAAAATCGATAAGCATATTCAGCTTTCTCTGAATAATTTTCAACAAAACACACACGCAAACATCTAAATCGTATCGAACATCTCGAAAGTATTGAAACGTAAGCATATATTTGCATTTCTGGTTTTCTTCGGAAAAGTCATACGTTCAGCACACAATGAATCAAGTCAATCTTGTGCGGCGACGATAATAAAATAGCACAAAACTATTGCCTAATGGCAACTCATGAATTTATTATTGCCGATTGAGCTGTGATATCGATTTACATTGGAGGCGACATCAATACCATACAACTTGTCTCCCATTTTCTGTATATTAATTCCGTTCGAACACAGTTTCGACCTCAGTCGATGTTTCTCATGACGAAACTCAATCAAAACACAGTTGATACAGTACTTCGACACTAAAATCGATTTTTGATACAACTCATAGTTATGCCTTGAAGTCAACAAGGGCACTCATCATCGAACATATTCTCTATAAGAAAAACAAGATTTCGTATTTTATACGTATGGGATTGATTGAGTCTAATAGCGGAATTCATTGAATTTATGCATTGTTGTGCAGAAATGTATTCAAAACATGAATTTTCTGTCTGACGAAAATCTATACTTTCCAACACGACTTTCCTGATGATTTTTTCATCGATGGCCCAAGCTTCATTCCCGACTTGAATAAAATCGCAATTTGCGACCGAAAAAAATAACAGCAATTCGAAGCAAAACTTTTTCCAAAACGGCCACAAAATGCTAAAACGAATTCATTTTCCAAAGAAGTTGGGTCAATAAAATCATGAAGCGACCAACGAATTGATTGACAAAATGTTGTTTTCCATCAACAGAGAAGACTCAAAAATTGGCCTAGATTCTAACAAATTCATAGAAAGATAAATGAACGGTTCATCGTTCATTCACCAAACGGAACAAACAAACAAACAAACGAAGAAAAATCATAGGAAATCGTATTGAAATATACAAATGTGAAAATCGCGCAAAAAAGTCGCTCGCATTTTTTTTCCTATAGTTGTTATTATGAGAGAAACATGTTAAGTCGTAGTAAACTCATTGAGTTCAATGTACAATGTGGCTGAAATTGTTTGAAGTTTCCCACGCAGTTCCTTGTCGTAGCAAACGTCTACTTGCCAATATGTGTGTGCGGGAAAGATCGTACATCAAAAACTTTGTCAATCATTTTGTGCATCAATTTTATGGAAATGTTTTGTCGAAATTATTATTGATATAATATCTCATGATTGTGATTATAACGTTTTTCTTCGGTTTCGATGCTTGAGTTTGCTTTATAGTAGTGGCGCAATCACAACTTCCACTCGCAATTCAAACGGACAAACAAAAGTAGATTTGAAACGATGGCAAACAAAATTGGAATAAGGGGTAGGAATGGAGTGTCAGCGGCATCGGCTCGCTTCCAGTGGCGTGCGTTTGCGTGGCAGGAAAATGGTCGTAAACGAAGTGTTTGTCGCCAGTAAGTCGCGCTCACAGTTGGTTTTTCAGTTGATGTGTTATCGTCGAATCGTGTAGTTCAGTTTTAATGGCATAGTTTTGTGGCGTGCGATTGTCACTTGGCTGTTGGATGGCATTCCCCATTCTCATTTCGTTTTGTTGCGAAATCCTAAATTCCAATTTCTTTTAGTTGCGCTGCACTGGACGCTCATTTGGGCTTCGGAATCGAACGACCTATGACAATGCAAAGTAAACGGAAACCAACCAACATACACACAAAGGCATTTGTTGTCACTTTGATGACCGACGGCCGCAATAACAATGAAATCGGACGTCGAGGAGAAATTTAATCACAAAACCGAAAATACAATAAGCAATGATAAAGTGGTTATGTGATTTCGTTTGCGGTGGTTTATGAGCCCATTGCGAACGATATTGACAATTTTCTCTCTCCCGCCAATGATGTTTTCATTAAATTCGGTTTTATTTTTCAAAAGAGGAACTATGTGGAAATCAGCACATTTTATTTCCAAAGCGACAAAAATGCCTTCGTTGACACTGGCCAAAATTCCATAATAATTTTCCATGTCGATTCGATTAGTGCGCGCCTTTGAAGAGTCGCCTCAGCTGTAATCCGATTGCGAACAAACCCCAAAGTATCGTATCGACAGTCACAGTCGAGAAATATGTGTCATGAAACCATCGAAATGAAATATTTATTAGCACTTGTGCGCGCGTACGAGTCTTCCACCTTTTTATCGCGACAACAGCGTCAGGAGAGGCTGCAACGGAGCGGAATAAAAGCCATTTGCTAGCGAGCAAAAATCAAAGTTTTATATGAATGTTTGCTGTTTCGCTTATTTATGGAAAATAACATAAAATTGAATGAATGGTATCGCAACGTTTTGCAATCGTTTATCATGGAAGCGCATCTACCCGAAGTATAGTTACATATGTGTGCACAGACACGAGCATTTCAATCGAGCACGAACGGGATGGGAATGGAAAACACAAACACACAATGTTTGTCTATACACGGAGCACACTCTTTCTCTGACTTACGATGATATTCTCTTTTTAACGCCAGCGTAAGCGTTAAACGTGTTATTATCATAAATTGTTGATGTTGACTTTTGTGCATTGCACACACACACCAGGTACACACACAAAGAGACGGCTTCCAACGACCGTGTAAATTACAGTCGAACAAGCAAATACCATTTTATGCATATTATTTTTAGTATGCTCGCACTAATATTTCTGCAACGGATGAATTTATATGATTTGATCCATGAACTTGAGAGAGCAACACACTCACACCACATGCCGATCTCTGCAATTTGTCTTAACAAACTTGTTCTACAAACTCATTGCAATTTCAACGAAACTTTCACGTGCCATAAAACCGAATCGAAAACGCATCTCATGATTACTGCACTTGACTCTTTCGATTTCTTCTATGAAAAAAAAAGAGGTAAGTATTCGGTTTCGTGGGCGGAAGGAAAGGGAGGTGAATTTAATGTCAGCTTTTTTATTATCCGATTTCATGACACTGTTTGATAACAGAAAATCTTTTCGAGAGAGTTTTACTTTTCGCGTTATTTTGTGCGTTATTTTCGATTTCTTCGCAGCACTAAACTCAGCATGATTTGGAATTTCATCACTTTCACTGAATATGGCCCATTTGCTTACGAGTTAGCAGACATTTATATTGATTCGAAGAAAAAATTGGTAATTTTTCTGAGGTGTGGAATAATTTACATAGAGGAGAACTTTTTGCTTTGGAAGACTGTTACCTATTCGAAGAAAAAAGCTTGATTGAATTCAGGCAAAAAACACTTGATGTCTTTTGGATTCGTTGCCTGTATTTGAATATATGCAAAGTACCAAAACATAATATAGCTAATGAGGTTTCTTCTCGAAGAAAATTTAATTAAAATTACAATTTTGTTGTCAGAACCTCATTCACAGGAAATGTATTTTTGCTGCGTTTGCATTTTGATTTTTGAAGCACGCGACTCGTTGCCATCGCATGCACCCCATTCATAGACTATACAAATAGTAATATTTTGGTGGCAAACATATAAATAAAATAAACGCTACTCAAATACGAAACACAAACACAGCGAGGAGAAATTTTATCGTGAGCAGCAAAACACGTTTCCAGAGGGAGAAGAATGGAGAGAGAGAGAGGTAAAATAAAAAACAGTGTTTTCCCTATAAAGACTGATGTCTCAGCAGTATACTGCTTCTCTACAGAGAGAAACATCGAACATCTTTTTTCGGAAACATTTTTTCCATTTCTTGACACTTACCTTTAGCATTGTTGGAAAACTTCTGCTGTAGAAGGTAAGTAAAGTTGAGTTGCTTTTGAACCAAATACGATAAAAAAAGTTGAGGGAAAATTTGAAAAATGTTTCCAAAAATGGAGAGAATTTCGCAAGAAGAATTGAAAAGTTCTTTACACACATTGGAAATGTACTTGAAAACCGGTTCTCTGGACAGAAAAAAGAACTCACTATTTCTCGATATTTCATTTTTCTCTGGAAATTTTTCATTCGTTGAATTTTATTAATCAAATTTCAATTTCAATTGAAATGCATTAAATTTCGAATGGAGATATTGTGTCTCGGTTTAAGGTAGACTAAAAATAAACCAATTTTCACGTGTCGGCAAACTTAAAGTTCTTTATACGATTGTGTGGCACTCCAATGGTTAACAGCATTCTATCAATCGTATGGAAATACGACAACAATTTGTCTGCATCCAACATAGTCAGTTTTGCGATTATAGTGGCGCTGCTATGCTCAAGTGTGTTACTGTATTCGAAGAAGATCCACACTTGATTACTTGAACACATTTCCGTGTCTGAGACTTTTGGATGGGAATGTATGAACTGAACTCAGTTGATGAGCTAATTTCATGAAATCTTTCAATCAATGAGATGGTATTTTTTGATTTTCAGAAGATTTTCCAACTCATTAATTTCATCATATTTTTAAATAATTTTATGACCTTTTTGAGCACTTCGAATTTCCCATCATTACAAAATTGCCATTACGTAGTGAACTTTTTAGTAAGTTCTGTTGTAAATACAAAAATATCAAAATACCAAAACATCGAAACCATTTGAATTTCACTCGTTCATTTCAATCGGTTGCTTCCCACGTTCGAATGGAGATTTACTAATTTATTTCGAACGACTAAGCGCTGAGTTTTTCAATGCAGCATCGAGTGCGCGGTTTCAGCGGGAATATTAAATTTGGAGCAACCAACAAACATTTTAATCTCAGAATGGAATTTGTCATCCGCTGGGAAAATACTGTGTCTGTTCAATTGAGCGCGACTGCGGCTCACTCCAAAGAACACTGTTTCGCTTGAGAAGCCAATGCGTCACTGTTATCGATAAACTTTTGACTGTAATTAATGTTCCGTCCGACTCCGCCAACCAAAAACCATTTGATTAATTCACAGTTTGTGCGTTTCAATTGAATATTTCAAATGTTGTCTTGTTTTTATCAAATAAACTCAATTACAGATGGAGCTCTGATGTTGTCATCACAGTTTTTAGTGAAATCACATTTTTGTGAACCAATGTTAAGTTCCTCTGAAACGCAACTTACCGCCTCAACTTAGCGCTTCACTGGGAATTGAAGATTGAAATCGACGTGGAAATATTTGATTCGATTAAGAAATCAAAGATACAATTTTGAGTGTAATAAACAGTTTTGGAGATTCATTCGATTCGATGAAATTGGCAGATGTTGACGTCGTGGCTACAGGGAGAATAAACCAAATTAATTTTCTTTTCCACGCTATTGAACTCTAATAGAGAAGACGGCAGATGAATACATCACTGTTTGGAGAGGTGGGCCACAGGGATTCTCTTATTCTTCGATTGAGCCTTCGTCTTTTGGGTTAGTCTCGTCAATCACACTTCAAACAGATATTATTAATGTGAGTATTAGATAGATCATCTGCCACCGCTCCAACAGTCAGTCCGTCGCGTAGGTCTTGTAACTTTTGCGCAAAGTAATACAGATGAATATTGAAATCCCATCATATGTTGAATTACGTTCGAATTCATCACAAAGTTTCGAAACGTGTAAGAGATTTTGGACAGTATTGATATCAATGGAAGCATTTTTTCTAGTCGCATCACTCATGATGGCATTAATGAATTGAAATGAACCATCCACAAATAAAGGTTAAGGTTTAAGTAGAAGTGACCACTTGTTGTTGAGAATCAATTTTCATTGAATTAAAAAAAAACTGTGTTTCAATTTTGTATATTCACGTTTTTACACTTTAATCAATTTTATTGGATTGCACCATAGTCGTTGGTGCGAGACTCGCACTGTGAGTTTTGAAAATTCAAAGCAAAAGTTTATTTCCGTTGAAATTTCACTTGTTTTTTTCACTTCAACCTCATTTTATGTTCCCGTTATTGGTCATTTTCACTCTCTCACTTTTTTCATTTCTCATCATTCGTTCAAAGAAAATATCGAATTGGAAGTATCAGTTGCACCGAGTGTTGTCCATCTGTTTATGTTATTTAGGTCGATTGGCGTTCCAATTTCACTGATCGAAAACAAGTACTTCGCACATTTTCCTCCATTCTTTGCTTCGTTTTTGTTGTTGTTATTGCACGTATTTGTTCCAAATAACTTGAGTGAATATTGATATTGCATTGTGTCGATTTGTGTTTATCTCAAAACTTATTGACATTACCAATGTGCCATGCACTGGCCAAGGTGTATGTGTGTGTCATTTGCCAGCCATCTATATTGAACTCAACTACATTTCTATATTATATTTTTCTTCTTCTGCAAGAAATATAATAATTCATAACACTTGTTTACCAGCAAAAATGTGTGCTGTTGTCATGTTCGAACGATGGAAAATTGCACAGAACATGAGAATATCGAAGTTAAAGTCGTTTCATTGAATTTATTTGAGCTCTTTAAAGTATTTCGTGCTTTGGACACGTGAGCAGAGACCATTTCCAGACATTCCAAATGCTCAACTAAGAAAAATCGATATTATCTACACAAAGTCAAAGTTTGGCCAAACTAATGCAATTTTCGTGCAAAATATTTACAGTTTCTTAAAATGTCAATGGTCGGGCTGCTTTGTGGTTTCAGTCTACACGCTCAAGTGCACTTTCTCTACCCAGAAATGCACAATATTTTGGCGACACAACCAAAACGACAGACTAAACAATTCCAACAACTTCAGCAACTTTATCGCATTTGATGCACAAAGTGAATCTCATATAATCCTGGCAAAACTATCTCTTGCTCTTGATCTTTTCCCCATTTCTCTTTGACTTATGCACACACACACACTTACTCACTCCGTCGCTCTGCCGAAGGTTGATGAACGGTCGAACTTTTTCCATCACTTTCCAAAGAGTCAAGTGCCACACAATATTCGCCTCGTTTGCCACAATGCCAATCACACACACCAACTTTTAACTTTTGATAGGTTTTGTAACGTTCGAAATGTGTTTTTTACTCTCATTTTCCAAGTGACAATTAACACTGTGAAAATCGAGATGAAAATAAGTCCATTTTTGTTTGACATTTCGATTTTTCTTCTGTTTTTATTTTATTTCCCAACGAATGATTTTTTTTATAAGGGACATTTTCGACATTTATGAATACAAACATCTCCGTATAACAATATTGTTGAAAAAATTCTTCTCAATTTCATCCTAAATTGGTCCCTAAATTTTCAAAAAGATCTACTGAATCATCTAGTGCTATCGTTTCATTCTTGGCAAATATCTTCAGACTTTCGTTGTCATTTTTAAATAGATAATCCATGTTAAAATTGTATAATTGCACGCAAACATTGTGACATTCCCGATCGTACGTGAAATAGACTCCATTTAGGTAGGACGGGCATCGGGCATGCTAGTCTTTGTTTGCAGCCCATGGTTGCGGGATCGAAATAAACTCGGCTCTCTAGCTCAAATGAAGAACAATTTAAATCGAGTTTTGGTACGGCACATCGACCAGCCAAAAATAAACACATGAATCGCTGATCTTTCACGCTTTTCAGAAGATAAAATATATCAAAACTCCTCAATATTCTGACAATTTGACAAAACTTCAAAACGTTTAAAAATAAAACATTGGAATTTTTTCGAAAACTGCACATACCGTCAGCTGTTTGAATAAGCAAAACTGCGCACAAAATTGTCAAAGTCAATTGAATTACATTGTATTTCTCCATCTCTGTTGTGATGAATGCAGATATTTGTTTCAGAATGATGTTTTCGAATGAACGATGTTGAATTAATCTAAGCTCAATACCAAATTGATAAATTTTGAATTTTTATTTCAATTTCAAAAATGATGTTCGAATCAATTCAAATACATTTTGTACACACGAATTAAAATAAAAGTAAAGCCCTATCTCCAACGATAGTCCCGTTTTTGTTCTGTTCTCATTTATTTGCTATGTCTGTTTTTCTTATGAACGTTTGTTATCAAGTGTTTATACTTACAACGTTTACATTTCGTTTGTTTGATTGACACAGCAACATGAACAACTATTTGCAAAACGAAATAAGGCAACAGGAAATATTTAGATTGGAGGGGAATCTCTCTCACTTATGCCTTTAATCAGGCTGATTAAATCTGAATTTTATTTTTCGAATTCATTTATACTGTCGACTGATTGGATATTTGTATACTATCAAGTGATTCAGCTGCAGTAATTAGAGTAAAACACTTAAGTGTAATAAACAATGGTTTTTGGCATTTGTCATTTTCAATAATACCTCTCAATGCTTGTCTCAACTCAAAATTGGGAAAGAAATGATTAAAATATGCGTCAAATACTATGTTTAAACCAAAATTTATTCAATCACAAAATATTCACACCGAAATAATTAAGAATAATCTTGCATGAACTTCTCACAGCCATCATGGCATTCTTGCCATGTTTTGAAGTTGTTAGCTCCTCCGGGACAAGCCATTTTTCCAGCACATTTTCTGGCAGTCATATCAAAGTAAAACCTCCATTCAGCCTTTTCACAGTTCTGCTCCAGCATCGGCTCATAGCACATACCGGCTTAAAGAGAATTCAAATGTTTGGTTTAAGTTTGTTTTCTATTTATGGTGATATTTGAGTTGTTTGAATAAAACGTTTCCGTTATTGAAATACACTTTTAATTAAAAATCAAATCTTTATAAAAGTCTCTTTCATACCGTTTACTGTTTTAATGAGGAAAACGGCGCACACGATTACCGAAATGATAGCGAATACGTTGAATTTTGCCATTTTTACTGGATTGAACTTAGAACAAGTTGACGAATGCTTTACGAATGCTTTGAATGAGCCAAAAATTGACTATTTATATAGTTAACCAAATCAGCTGCGTTCCGAATCCAAAAACCCATGATGCGAATTTGTTGTTAGCAACCAGGGAAAGTACTGAATGATCAGCTAATCTGCAGTGATAAAGATTCACCTCTAAGCAACAAGAAGCTTAAAATCAAAACTGCCCGCATTTATGTATTTTGCTCAGAGCAAATTGCTCTGCTACATAGTAGACTTACATACTTTGCGTTAGAATACACGAATTGCCTTAAAGGCAAGGTTGAATGACGAGACGGAAGAAATAATAAGTAAAGAAAAAAAATTGAAAATGATAGAGCGTGAACGCATGTGGGTGATAACAAGTGATAACTTGCGGCTATTGCCATCCCAATGAGGAAAACGTTACATTTGTACACATTTTGTGCACGGCCAATGTAATTTCTCCATAAGCTGTGCACAAAATGTGTACAACTGTAACGTTTTCCTCATTGGGATCGTTTTTGATAGAATCTGTTAAAATTCTTTTTCTACAGATCGTCATAAATTTTTGTTTGGAATAATAGCAGGTGATTAATTTTAACGACTTAATGAAAAATGTTTCAAGTTCATTCAAGAATGCGTGCTCTCAATTCAAGCTAAATACAACGTCATCTTTTAAAAGTCAGTAGATAATTTAATAGAATTATTTATGTTAATTCAGGATGGTTTTACAGAAAAAAACGGAATTTTTGTTATTATTTAAGTGGCGTCATAAAAAATCCAAATAAATTCGATTACTGAGAAAACGACATAAGGGTGAGAGTCGTCCAGCTGGACATAGCGTTTCAAACCGGGAATGTGGTTATGAACTAAAGTCAATCACATCACGAATCGATTGAATTGAGCTGATTTATTGAAATGACAAATGAATTTATTGATTATAGTTGAGTTCTCTTGTACATACACGTAGAATTTAAATGAGTCGTTGAGCAGATTAATGCGATTTTTCCATTTTACCGACCATTTTTCGAAATATTTCAGTGCGTAAATATTTAATAATATTATTCAGTGGTTCACCGTATAAAGCAATGCAATTCCATCGGTGCTTAGGTGTTTTCATACAAACTGTCCCATGTTGACGATCAACTGTTGGACTCAACATGGCCGAAAATCGAAATAAAAAATGTTTCGATTCTGATACAGCATTTTGAATCCATTGGTGCCATAATCAGATCGAAATTCGCATTTGCATAATTCCACTCAACGATTCAAATCAATGTTATGGAAAACACCTATAGACAAATATTTTTTTTAGCACTACATGAAATGTACAGCTTATTTTTTTTCTTAATACTTTTTGAGTACTGAAACAAATTATGGTGAATTTGAATTTTATGCTCATATTATTTATTTAATTTAAACCAAAGGCAGTGTATTTCAAAAAAAAATAAAACCAAGATCGTGTAATTCATTTTGCAAATAAATTTATTAATTCAAAGTTACTTTGATGAAATACATTTCATGTAGTGCGCCAAAAAATAATTTGTTGTGAAACAACAAAATAGATTAAGTAACTAAAAAGTCAAGAACACAGAGCGAAGCTCTGCGGTTTTGTTTTCGATTTGTATTGCAATATAATCATATTTACGGACCTGTAGTTTTGACTTATGTCGCATGGGGTGTAGTGGCAGTATGCGTAACGCTTCTTATGTTTCAAATAGAGACAGTTGGGTAATACATTTTTTTTGAGAAATATTTTACATTTTCGAAATAAAATATATTGACTACAAGGTGGCTCAAGCAATATTTTTGTGTAAATTTTTTGCTGAGCCTTTATTAAATATTTGAAATTACACCAGTCGCAGGATATCATCAATTGGCCAACACTTCTGATGATCGTTTGGCAGCTATTTTGGACGTTTGCAACACTTTTTCCATTTTGTTGTTCTGGAGGTGAGGTAACCAATGCATTTGAGGAATCGAATGACGAGATAAACTAGTGCGACTGGTATGTGTTTCCATATATAGTGCGACGTATACTACCGATCGTCATGCTCGTAGCTAAAGAACCCGTCTATATTGAATCATACGGAGGTATCACGTGCACACGTGACACATTCAAATGGGTAGCATCAAAATTTTTGATTTTTATATAAAAATGAATCCGCTTACAAATTGAATGATCGTGTACAGATTGTCAACACCGGATATTCATACTACCAAATTGTTCGCAGCATGAGCTGAATTGAAGACATCGGTTGGCAAACTACCAGCTGTAACTACTATAAACTATGTACTCTGTTTATAAACAGTGACCTAGACAGTGACCTCATGTTGATTGTCCTTCTCACACGATATTTACACGTTTTTTATTCAAATTGCTGTTATTAATTTAATGTGATACAAAATTCGATCGGCTAGAAATATATTCACAGTTCACATTCAAAATAATTACCTTTAGTTAATAAGATTTGTTTTCAAATAATGACGAAAGAAAAAAAGTTCTAAAAGAGAACACAGGAGAATACTAGAGCATTGAAACATTTTTCATTTATGTATGCACTTTTTATCGTGTTTTAAAACTTAATCCAGAATCTGGATTGTGGATAAAGGTGCTTTTATTATATACTCTCAACGAGTAATTTTACTTGAAGAAAAAAAAGATGGTTTTATTAAAAAAATATATTGAAATTTATAAACTTACGTATATGAGGAGAAAATTAAAATCGATAAACAAAAAAAAATGCTTCATTAATGAACACAAAAATTCTCTCAGAATACTTGATAAATAAGCAGAACATGGATTTTGTCTACGAAAAAAAGCAACAACGCACGGTTTTTGAACCAAACCACAAAGCAAATGTGAGAAGCAAAGTTTAATGTTGCAGTTCAAAGTCGAAACTTGCTTTATGGCATTTTGTTTCTATAGTTAGCATTAACCATTGTTCCACCAACTCATCATTCATGCTTTCTCGCTCACACTTACGTGCAATTCTTCCGAGATCCGAGATATCTTTTTTTCCAAAAAACAAAATCGAAAACACAGATATTTGTCTGAAATTGCTTTATTTGTAATGATTTGTCATTTGAGTTTAAAATTGAATATTTATTTTATAATCGGATTGATTTAATCGTTTTAAGAATCTTCCGATTCGCAGACAGTCGAATCGGAAATAATAATCAAATCCCTATTTATTGTCTCCCTTTTTCTTTCTTGAAAAAGCTTCAACGTTCATGTCAAAATTGGGATTTATGCGATCAATACGACTGTGGTCTTTTCGAATGTAACGAACATAATCATCGCGATTTTGACGGCATTCATTTCCACACTTTGGACTCTGGCATTTTGGGCACGGAAAATGACATCCGATGCAGCTGTTGTCGAGACAGTCACAAGCATCACGTCCGGTTGCTCTGATTCGGCCTCTACCATCGTATGTGGTTCTTGATGTATTCCGTTGTGATTGACTTGGGTTGAAATCTTCGTTGAACTTCATGTCAATCTCCAAGTTCTTAGTCCCTTTCTTATTCTTACTGTCACTATTCATTGCGATCAAGTTGGCAATACACTATAAATGTGAACGAATAACATTTTTGAACAAATTAAAACGAATCGAAATTTTGAACGATTTTTCACTTTGAAAACCAAATACCTTTTGTTTGACACAAAATTGATGCTCAGTTATTGGAATTGAAATCTCTCGGAAAACTGGTTTACGTTTTTATTAGGCAGGTCGATGTGTTTGAATTTGTAGATGAATCGAAGTCCAAATTTTGGTTGTCACATGAATTAATTTTATCAACTTTTACATAAAAACCGATGTGAACCGCACTTATGTTCAAATTATTGACCAAAAAGCAAACTCTTGATCGTATTCAAGAACAGAGAAATTTCAACTGATCGCTTCAACAACTTTATTCCAAATAAATCACGACAAACGATGAATTGTTGGTTGTCGCCGGTCAGCATTTTTGGTTTTGATAAATATACAGTAACGAAAAATTGTCAAATGAGCAAATCTCTAGAAAATGAATTTGTTTGAGTACAATTGTTTATAAACATAAACAATTGATTTTTCGTCTTTTCGATTCCGAGAACTCCGAATTCGGTGTGAACATTTGGAGTACAGTCAGAAATGTTTCATCATTTTGCGTCATTAAGTGGACATCGATTCCTCTTCTCATTCAAACTGTAGCACTTTTTAAGATATAGTTTATTCTGAATTAGACTACACATTCCAGTCGATCCACCCCAGTGAAGAAAAAGTAAAATACGACGTTTGAAGTCTTGGCGAATGGAGGAAAGAGCGATTTGTTTTCGATTGAATAAATAAAAAAAACTTTTCAAACTAAAGAAAAGAATCAAAGCGATAAATCCATCATCAATTCATATGTGCTGAAAACATTCGCTTACATTCCAAAAGTTTAAAATGTAACAAAAAAAGAGGATTATATTTTACACTTAAAACGACATGGACACTTCCATGTTTCGCCTATGTTTCTCTGCTGTGTCTGAATACATCAGCAGCTGTCTTTTATGTGTTTTGGCAAAAGTTTGATTTTTCATGCGAAGCGTAAAAATCATCGCACTGGACATTTTTCAAACTGAAACTCCGAAAAAAACACAAACACACCATTCAAATTCCATGGCATTGTCAATCGAACGAGTAATTCGAAAACTCATGTTACATACCAAACGACATGACGGTTATCATGTCACTAATTGTTCGTTCAATGAAAGCCGAGCAAAAGTTGTCAAATGAATTTCTGCTTTCACCTTTCACATGAGCGCTAGATTGTGACGTCGCACGGTTCTTGGTGCATTTTTGAGCTAACAACCGATTTACTGAATTATTTCTCGAATTCCGAGATGATAAAATAGGGGAGAACTAAGGCGAATTTATGGTTGTTTCGTACGAAAGTTATGTCATCAATTTGGAGTCAAAATTTGAATCGATGGAATTTGACGAAGAACGTTTGAATCAGTCGTTATTAAAAAATCTCATGGCTCTGAAGCATCCCCTAGGCATGAAAAATGTTCGCAAACGTTTCGAATACGACACATTGTTATCATTGGCAAATAAACGGATGGGATTATGTGTGTTATGTTTTGACAAGGTGAATGAGAACAGATGAATGACTTTCAGATGCAGACTCTTCGGTGCTTTAGCCAGCTGAAAAAAAACATTGATGTGATTTTACTGCAAAAGACACCCGACTATTCGGAAGTATAGCTCGCATCCTCTCGTTGCATAACATGCGAAGAGAATGTATCAGTTTGCGTCAGCGCGCACGAGAGAGAGAGAGAGAGAGAGAGCGAGATGTATGTGAGAAATGAAAAGGCATTGGTAACAATGGGATAAAAATTGTTTGCCAACCGTATTTGAATCGTGCACGAAGATATGTTCAAATGAAACGAGTCGTCAGAGATTTCCATTCATTCGCCATTTTTCAATTGAAACGATTGAATCGGAGTTATCAATTCTTCATGAAAATATACGGAATTTGTTTGTATGTTCGCTGCAGAATCATTATTATTGGTGTCGATATGGCGGAGATTCATACGCGAAATTCGTGCACAAAATCATAAATAAATAATAATCGAGAATAATTTCTTTGGAAAAAATCTACTTCTTTCCTGTTGTTGTTCAATAGATTCATCTCGTTTTCGATTTACAGTTCAATCGTTTTGCCAATGACGAGCGAGCAAAAAAAGTCACTCATCTTTAAACTGCAATCAAAAATTGAAACTTTCCTCTGAATGCACCGATGCGTTTTGTCAAACCCGTTAACAAAAGCATTGCAAAGTAAACACTTGAGTGCAGCAGCAACAGCGGCGACAACGAAGAAAAACGACGACGACGACGACGACTTCAATTTGTTCGAATGGAAAATTCGTCATATTTTTGCAGTGCAAGCGAAATCCCATGATATTTATGACGAAGCCGCGCTTGAAACCATATGGCAAAATAAATTTCTGCATGACGATTCATTGATACAGCAAACGCGTCGCTTGCAATCGCATGATAAAACCAACAAAACCGTTTTATTGTGATGTGTTTTTTCTTCTCCCATTTTGTCACTTTGATTTGGTGAAATTGAATTTCTGAACAAACAGGGGAAGAACGGTTGAGTGAACGAACTACCGATATAGAGACATGAGAGCGAGAGACAAAAAGAGGTAAAAGGAGCGAATGAGTGAGAGCGGCAGAGTGCACACTTTGAACAATTGTCACAAGTGAACGATAATGACGAATGTGAGATGCCGTTGGCAAACGGGCAGCTTCAAATTGAACAAACATGAACATGTAGATACATGAACGAAATCGCAACTTAAACACAAACACTTGGTTCGCATTCCCGAAAAAAATACATAAATAAAATTGGTTTATTTATTATTTACAACATTTTGTTTATTGCTCGGCTTACTCACGATTTTCGAGCTGTTATCACAAACGTGTCACGCTTTATACGTACTATCATTCCAATAGCTACCGGCTGTGTCGTATAGAGCTTGAAATAAATATTTACATACATATACACTTACACATATATACGGTAATGTATTGATTCGATGGTATTTTTCGAATACTGTGTCAAGTGGCTCAGCCAGCAGTTTTTCTATCCGATGACATCATGATTTAATATATGTAACAATCGATGAATTGAAATCATCAACAGGAAATACAGTATCATGTTGTTTTAAAAGATATCCCAACAGCACAATGTTTGCATTTGAAAGTGGTTGTGATGATGCTTTTTCTGCTTCAATTCTTTTTTCCTCGTTTTAGAATATTGCTTGAAAAAAATAAAACAACAACTTCGAAAATATGGTTTTATTGTGATAAACGGGAATATTTTCACATGTAAACACATAATTATCGTATGTTTGAAAATATATGAATTGCATACGTTTGAAAAATTTCTCTTCCAAAATATGCTGACTTCTCACAATTCTTTGTATGTTTCAAGCAAATCTGACTTGCGTTCAACATTATTTTATGTATTTGTTTCGGAATTGCAATGTTACAATATTTTTCATGTGTGTATGTTTTGCTGTGTGCTAAATATCATTGCTATGATTTTGATTTATTCACATAAATGATTTACATTTTATACGGAATATTTGTTCCAGAGGAATGAATGAAATCGAAGAGAAGAAAGTAAAAAAATGACAAGAATTACGCCATTGAAGGAATTTCAGGCATTTGTGCGCCTTACACGAATCATATCAATGAGATATAAGCGACAAAAATGCAAAAGGCACGTTTATTGAATGATACATTTAACATTTTTCCCATTGTATCACCAATCGCCTTTTCTAATACAGTTTTATTATCGAAATCGGGTGCATATCTACTATTCATCCTTTCTTTGAGAATTCTTTGAAAAGAAAACTGGACAATGAATTTATGCGCATTGAGAGAAATTTTGTCATATTTCTTATTAAACTAGGGAAGAATGGTTCCCATGGTTATTTTGTATCATTTTAACTTTTTTTCTTTCTCGCTTTACGTGAGTCACTTGAACTTCGAAAAAAAAAACAATGTGAACGCTATTGACGAAAAGAACTCAGGAAATAAAGAGATGGCTATCATTTCCTTGTTCAATTGAAGTTTATTGCTTATATCGCCACTGCAGATCGGTTTCTGCAGCATCTTCATTTTCATTTGTTATATCTTTCTCAAGTATTGCGTTCTATTTTGCTCGCTTGATGTTAATGATTCTGGTTACAGAAAATTATATCGGAATGGCAATAAATTCATCAGTTGCGTACGTAAAAATAGATGAGACGATGCACTGGCGTCATCGCATTGCATCCACGTTGAGTCATTTGAATAATTTGTGATTTTGTGATACTATAGCATCAAGTCTAGGCTTGATAAGCCTACATTTGTATTTTTAACTCGAGGCTCAATGTGATTGTTAGACGCTCGGTTTTCAGATTTATGCGAATGATAATCAGCCGGTTAATTTGACCTTGTTCGGCGTTCTTTGGTTTGGTTGTTTTACAGGCGAAACGGCACTACATTCGTTCGTAAATTAACCGAGTGATCTGTCCCATTGCTGACGATGAGTTAGCTGAAAAAGGAAATTCAGAATGGGAACGATTGTTTGGAATGGATTACGACGCCGCTATCTCGTGTTGTGAAACCGTGCGAAACGGCGCTTTCGGCAGTGTCAACAAATCAAATTTATTAGCCACTTGCCAACCGAATAATACCATGGCGCTCCATTAATCTGTACTCGTGAGAACGTCATCGGAATTGACCTTTTGTGCGCGGCAGCTTGCAATGACAATCACATTTCACACTTTATTTATGGTCTCTTCGCTGTGTCGTGCTTTAGGATTTGTTGTCGTTATAAATGCAACAGGTTGATGAGCGATGCATATATAATAAGAAGCGCAGAGCAGCCAATGTACATCAATTCAATTCGCGGCTAGTTCCGGAAGCGTGGTTAGTTAAGCGCAGATTTTGCAAGAGCAAAATACAGTAAATTTCTTTGAGACACTTTTTTGAGTATTGATATTTGGAAAATAACAGTAAAACTCTCTTTTGAGAGAAAGAGGAACCCAATTTTTTATTTTTAAACGTTGTGAGAAAACATTCAGGTGAAATGGCTGTCGACATCGACACAGAAGCTGTTGACACAATTATGAACGAACAGACACCAACAGATACAGATGATTTTGCACCAAAATGGATCGACAGCGACTTCTTAGAGAAACACCTACAGAACTTTTTCGGTGATAAGCAAATTACCATTGTCAATTTTGAAGTGAAGCCAGCAACAGCCAAAGGAGAAAACTATGCGAGCTATCTCTATCGAGTAAAAGTCACATATTCGGATGAGACACAAACGTGTTCAGGCAGACGAAATTCGGTAGGTGCTTAAAGAAGCATATTTTATCATTCAAAGACTGATTGAGTTCATAGATGTTGTTTTGAAAATATCGAATAGCATAGACAATTTGGAATCAGTCGCAAATACGGTTGTCAAAATCATTTTTCTTACATCTAATAGGATTTCAAGCTTTCAACTCTGAACATCATCATAAAAACTGCAGTTCCTGGCGAATTTGCTTTTGAGATGTTGAATGCAAATGATGTTTACAGCAAAGAAATTGAATTCTATAGCAAAATTGCACCCAAAATAAATCAAAAGCTAAAAAATTTGAACGAAACAGATCAACTTGTGGCCGAACCGTATGGAGTTTGTGATGCAAATAATGCGATTTTGTTCGAGGATTTGAGTACAAAGGGCTATGGCATTGCTTCTGTCCATCGCGGACTCAATTTCGAAGAAGCTAAAATCGTTTTGAAAAAAGCTGCCACATTACATGCCATTCATGCTGTGCTGCAAGAGGAAGACCCAAACATTTTTGAAAACTTTAAATATGGTAAAATTGAACAAAATTTTGATTTCAAGCCTTTTTTTTAATCTTTAAAATTACACATCTTCAGGTTTGATGAGCCGACATACGGATGTATTCAACATATTTTACATGACTCAGCTGGATGTGATGATGGAAGTTATTTCAACATGGCCAGACAGTGAATATTACATGGAAAAATTGCAACGTCTTCGTAGCAATATTATGGACAAAGGAGCCAAAGCCTTTGATCCCGATCCAACTCACTTCAACACAATGATTCACGGCGATATATTTGTATTTTTTTAAAAAATAGTTTCATATATTTTCTAAATTTTGAACTCACAAACAAAAAATAAATATTCTTACTGCAGGTGGGTTAATAATCTCATGATGAAGCACATCGATAAGCTTGGTTTCAGTGATGAAACTGAAGCGTCAATTGAAAATATAATTTTCATCGACTTTCAATATTCTTGTTGGACGTCGCCAACCATTGATTTGCATTTCTTTTTCAACGGTTCGCTACAAGAATCGCTGCGACCAAATCGTTTCGATGATTTAATCGAGTTCTACCACGGGCATCTCGTGGAATATCTAACACGTTTGGGGTATAAAAAACAAATTCCCACTTTGGAAGAGCTCAATCGACAGTATCATGAGAAGGATTTCTATGGTAAGAAGTTAAATCAACAGTTTCGTGCTCAAATCATAGTTCGTAGTTATGTTCAGCGTTTTAGCGCATACCACAGATTAAATTTTACTCCCTTCCAAAATAGGTTTTATTGCAGCTTGTTTAATTCAACCATTGATGATCAACGAAGAAACCGCCGAAGCCGATGTCGAAGCGTTAATGATCGGCGATGAAAGATCCATGAAATTCAAACGAATCATTTATTCATCACAAAAGGTTCGAGTCAATTTACGGAAACTTATTCCAATTTACGATGGCATGGGCCTTTTCGATTAGACTGCATATTTTCCAAGTGATTTTTAATTATGAAAAAGTACATTTTAAAAAAATAATATTATTTAAACTATTTCTAAAAATGAAACCAATAAAATGTCTGGAAAATTAGATTTTTTTTTTGTAAAATTGCTGTACGAAGGTTTACATACATGTGGGGAGTATACAGAACGTAGCCTAACGTAAGCATAGTACGCAGCCACTCTGGTTGTGACAGCTCACGCGTAACATGAGCAACTTCACTCTTATTGAATAAAGAATGGGTTAATTTAAAATGCACAGTTATTTTTAAAAACGCACAGTTAATTTAAAAAAGACATAAAAAGCATTGATCCTAAGTGCACCTAATTCATTTTTCAACATTAATTTGCATGGTTAACAAGTCACAAGATCAAAATGTATTAATCTCGGCTTGCTGAGTTTCTATGCTCGGCACATATACGCAGCTATCTGTAATTGACTGGTTTAAACAACTCTCCTATTCACTTCGAATTTGACAACTGATATTGACTGCAACCACCACCTAGATAATCTAAGGCTAATGACAATACAATTATGTAAACCCCCCGTTCTGTCAAACGTCATACTGAAGTATAACATACAGACATCACGAACTCGCCATCGGTTCTTTAGATGGCGCTTCGGTCAACCGAGTTCCTAGTCAGCTACGGCTGACAATCGTTATCCAGATAATTTACGTATGGTGA